CCCCCCCCCCCCCCCCATGTGTGATGGGAGTCGGAGCTCTCGCTGTAATCTGTGATTGTGCAAACAAACCCATCATCATTTCCTGAAAAGAGGAGTTTCCTATTACTCACCTCTGGTGCCCCAATAAAAGGAGGACTTGGCAGCAATGCCTTGTGTGCTATCTGGAATTTGAATCGCTTTGCCACTGTTACAACTCTGATAGAAACAATAAATCAGGGCACACGTCTCCATGACAAACATCCTTTCCCAATCTCTGGCTGCGAATCATCGCCCCTGTCTAAAAGTCAGCAGGTTAGTCTGAATGCGAGAGTTATTTCGTTTTATTTATGGAGTTATTTCGTTTGAATGGTGCTTCCTTGGGAAAGTCTCATTACTATGATTTATTATTTGTAGTACAATAGGTAGGTGGAAGCCATATCCAAGATCAGGCCCCATCATGCCAGGCACTAGACCTTATTCCTAGTATTTATTATTTCTATTTTCCTAGCACTGAGGAGCCCCAGTCAGGGACCAGGACCTCGTTGTCCTAGAAGCGGAACAAACACAGAAGAAAGAGAGGGTCCTGTCCCACACAGCTTACATTCTGTTTGAGAAAGAGCAAATGGATAGCCACAGACAGGCAAAGAGTGGAATAATGAAGTCAATGCCACAGCTGTGGTCTGCGGCTAAGCTGCATGCTTTCAGCACCCTAGCAGCCATTCACAGTAAAAGGCAGCTTCTTACCCCAAAATCTGACAGGCCAATGAAATCCACGTGTATTTCCATCATCTGACTTCTATACAGCACTTATACAAAGCAGGGGGTGCCCATCCCAGTACCACGGATCCAGCCCATTTTCATGTCAATGTGCACTTTTAAGAAAAGGGGTTTTAAGTTTCTTAAAATCAATTTTGGTAGGTCTCCCTGTTAGCGAGTTAGGACAGAAGCAGGCAGTAGTAAAAATCGGCACCAGCTCTGCAGACCCAGGAGGGGATTGCTCAGATAAGCACACATGGGATTGTATCTATCTGCACCACCAGTCCTGTATTTCAGATACCTCTTTTCCTGAGTTTATAGATACTCTACATACATACTATACAATCCTGACCGCTGTAAGTGAAAAGTTAATTGCATGTATTTTAAAGAGACTACAAACCTCACCAAAGTGCCGTGTCAAGTTTAATCAGTGTCTGGGAAAGGATTTAGTGATGTCATTTTCCAGCATTTCATGCATATTATTATGATGAACTCATTCAACACCCCTAGAGCTGCATAGACTTGTGAAAACATGTGGTAACATTTGTACAAGCACCTCCATGACTTTGGAACCTATATGCCATTGACTTTCAGTGGAATGTAGGCTCCTAAGGATATGTCTACATGTTGAGATGGAAGTTTAATTCCCAGTGAGAGGAGATATCCCTGTGCCAGCTGTGAAGGAGCCATCGCACTAAAAATAAAGCGTGGCTGCGGTGGCAGAAAGGATGGGAACAGCTAGCTGCCCCAAGTGTTACTGGGTAAGTCTACAGAGCAGGCAGTTGTTTCTAAATAGTGTCAAAATACTGTCAAGCTGGAGGACTTCTTACTCCGATTCCTGTAACTCTCATTGTATGCGGAATAAGGGAAGTCAGAGGAAGAGTGCTCTATTTCGAAATAAGTGCTGTGTAGATGCTCCCAATTTCAAAATAAGCTATTTCAAAATAAGATACACAACTGACGTAGCTCAATTTGCATTGCTGATTTCGAATAAAGCCCTGTTGCATAGACACACCCTATCTGTGTAAGACATTGGAACATACACTGGTGTTATGGCTACATTAGGGTATATCTACACTACAAAGTTAATTCGAACTAACGGACGTTAGTTCGAATTAACTTTGATAGGCGCTACACTAGAGCTCCGCTAGTTCGAACTTAATATGAACTAGCGGAGCGCTTAGTTCGAACTAGGTAAACCTCATTCCACGAGGACTAAGCCTAGTTCGAACTTACTAGTTCGAATTAAGGGCTGTGTAGCCCCTTAATTCGAACTAGTGGGAGGCTAGCCCTCCCCAGCTTTCCCTGGTGGCCACTCTGCCAACACCAGGGAAACTCTATTGCCCCCCTCCCGGCCCCGGACCTCTTAAAGGGGCACGGGCTGGCTCCAGTGCCCATGCCAGGTGCAAGCCTGCCAGTACCCAACCAGCAGACCCTGCACCTGGCACGGATTGAGCCACCCACCCGATGC